TAACCACATATTGATGATTTCTACACTTGAAAGTCATATCGGAGTAGAAAGCTTTAATATGATTAACCAGGATATGGGATTCATGAATTGTCACAACATTTATCAACCCCGAAGAACGAAGCTTAGATTAAACTGATTCATAAGAATTATCCCGCTCAAAATCAACAAGATCAACGAAACGAGGGGTTATGATTTTGCGAGGAAGAACATTATCATGAAAGAAATCCAAAGCTTCCTTCTTTTCAAAGAAAATTCGAGGATTAAGAGCAAATTCTACCCTTGGGATTTCGGGTGTAGAAGTCGGCTGAGATGAGGAACCCGGGAGAGAGGATGAATCGGGTGGCCAAATGGTTGGAGAAGAACTTGGTGACGAGGATGGAGTTGCGTCGGTGAAGATGTAGAACCGCGACTAGGGTTCAGAGGTTCCGCCGAGAGAGAGAGAGAGGACTTGCGAAATCTGATTATGAGAAGCTTTGACCAAATAAATGAGTTTTTTAAAAAATATCAGGTCTGATCTCATTTATTCGAATAGGTCCTCACTTATTCGAATAAATCAAGTTTAGTCGCAACACTGGAATCTGGAAGGATCACACTTATTCGAATAGTTCCCAATTATTCAAATAGATCAAGTTTAGTCGCAACACTAGAATCTGTAAGGAACACACTTATTCGAATAAAACACTGTAGCTGAGCAGTCCTTTGGACGTTTTCAAATAGCTAAAGTCAATATAAAATTCCCCCTTAATAAATGCTTCCTATTCAGTGAGAAAGAGGAGTGGATGGGTGAGAACCTTTAAAAAAAGAATTAAGGCCACTCTGATGCCTATGTTAGTAAGAAATTTAAAAAAACTAAAAAAAAATATTAACTTAAGTAATGGAAATAATTCCTAATGCATTTCTAATACGACAAAAATTCTCACGATCCAAAGGTTTAGTCAAAATGTTGGCCAAATGATTAGTTGTATCGACAAATTCAATGTCTACATCACCCTTTTGGACATGGTCTCTAATAAAGTGATGTCGTATATCAATATGCTTTGTACGAGAGTGATGAACTGGATTCTTCGTAATATTTATAGCACTCATATTATCACATCTCAAAGGAATATGATCAAGTACACGGCCATAATCCAAAAGTTGTTGTTTCATCCAAAGAATCAGGGCGCAACAACTTCCCGCAGCGACATATTCAGCCTTGGCGGTGGACAAAGCAACACTAAATTGTTTCTTACTAAACCAAGAAACAAGTGAACATCCAAAAAGATGACAGGTTCCACTAGTACTTTTTCTATCCATTTTGCACCCGACAAAGTCGGAATCAGAATACCCAATGAGAGTACATGTTGAACCTTTGGGATACCACAGTCCCATAGTCAAGGTGCCTCTCACATACTTAAGGATACGTTTGACGGAAGTCAAATGTGATTCCTTAGGGTTTGCTTGATATCTAGCACACATACAAACACTAAACATAATATCAGGTCTACTAGCGGTTAAATATAATAATGAACCAATCATACCTCGATATTGTTTGACATCAACCGACTTACCACTTTCATCTTTATCAAGCGAACATTGAGAACTCATTGGGGTAGCCATTTCTTTACAATCTTCCATCTCAAATTTCTTGAGAAGTTCTTTTGAGTACTTCGTTTGGCTAAGAAATGTCCCATGTTCAAGTTGTCGAATTTGAAGACCGAGGAAGAAATTTAATTCTCCCATCATTGACATTTCGAACTCCCCTTGCTTGATCTTAGTAAATTCCTCACACATAAGATCATTAGTAGCACCAAAAATAAAGTCATCAACATAGATTTGTACTAAAAGCATGTCAAGATCATTATGCTTAATGAAAAGTGTGGTGTCTACCTTTCCTCTTTGAAATCCATTCTCCAAGAGATGCAAACTCAAACGTTCATACCCAGCTCTTGGGGCTTGTTTAAGTCCGTATAGAGCCTTTTTCAATTTAAACACGTGATTTGGAAACTCAAAGTCCTCAAATCCTGGAGGTTGTTCGACATACACTTCTTCTTGAATGAAACCATTCATAAAAGCACTTTTGACATCCATTTGGTACAATTTAAAATTCATAGTAGCGGCATACGCAAGTAGTAATCTAATGGCTTCTAATCTCGCTACAGGTGCATAGGTCTGATCAAAGTCAATTCCTTCTTGTTGATTGTAGCCTTTAGCTACAAGCCTAGCTTTGTTTCTAGTGTTTATACCATTTTCGTCGAGTTTGTTTCTGAAAACCCATTTAGTACCAATAATAGAATGGTTACGTGGTCTAGGCACAAGCTCCCAAACGTCATTACATTTGAAATGATCCAACTCTTCATGCATGGCCATAGTCCAGTACTCATCATTAATGGCATCATCAATAGTAGAGGGTTCTATTTGAGAAACAAAAGACATATGATTAACTAAATTATGTAATGAGCTACGAGTAGTTACCCCTTTTGAAATTTCACCAATGACATTGTCTAGTGGATGATGTTTTGAAGTTCTCCATTCGGGTGGTAACTCATTTGTTACATGCTCATATTCATTGTTCTCAATTTCCTTTACAACATCTTCTTGTTTATCAGATTTTGATTTACTTGACTTGCCTTCTTCAAGATTCATTTTCTCATGAGAGCCTGCAAGATCATCACAAGATACCTTTCTCGACAAGCGAGCATTATTCTCATCAAATACCACATGCACAGATTCTTCAACAACTAAGGTACGTTTGTTGAAAACTATATAAGCCTTACTAGTCAAAGAATAACCTATAAAAATTGCTTCATCTGACTTGGCATCAAAAGGTCCTAAATTATATTTGCCATTATTTAAAACATAACATTTACAACCAAAGATATGAAGATGCGAAAGATTAGGCTTTCTACCTTTATATAATTCGTATGGAGTAGCGTTAAGTGTAGGTCTTATAATCGCACGATTGAGAATATAAGCACTAGTACTTACCGCATCCACCCAAAAATACTTAGGTATGTTAGCCTCGCTAAGCATGGTTCTAGCCATCTCTTTGAGAGATCGGTTTTTCCGCTCAACAACGCCACTCTGTTGAGGCATTCTTGGTGTTAGAATAAATGACCAACGCTAGAGGGGGGGGGTGAAGAGCGTTTGATCGTAGAAATCGCAGGAATTAAAAATTTAAAAGAGAAGTAAAGAGAAGAGTAAGAGTCACACCGAATTTACCCTGGTTCACCACAACTTGTAGCTAATCCAGCCTCCCGAGAGACTCTCTCGAGCTACACTACTATCTCGTTAAGCTTAACGGTGCTTAACAAACCCTTACAACTTGAGAATTCGAGTCACACGAACCTCAACGAATCCTTCGAAGGAAACAGCCCTTCCTTCGAATCAAACAAGAGAAATACTTTCTCTCAACGTGTCTTAGAACACTAGTACACTCAAGAACAAGACTCTCTTTAAGAGTAGATGTTGAGTAAACTACGTACGCTCAAGAACAACTCAAACTTCACACGAATTGGCTCTAGAAAGCTATGGAAAATAATGTTGTTTGAATGCAATGAAAGGATGAATATTGTGAAGTGGATTGATGTGTAAAGCAGACCCAAACACCCCTTTTTATAGTGCCAAAATAGGCTCCAACGGACCAAGGCATTAAAGGGGTGATCGGCTTGATTTATGGGATTGAATAAAATGTGGATCTGCAAGATATTGGCTTCCCAGCGATTTATGGACTTACCCATCGCTGGTAAGCCAATTTTCCTTCAGTTTTGAAGCCAACGGTCACCTACCCATTGATGGGTACATGCTTCCCATCGCTGGGTCAGAGGTTGACTTCCAAACAAGGAAAGAATCAACCTTAAATGACTTCCAACGGTCATGCCTACCCAGCGATGGTTATGCCCTCCCATCGCTGGGTTCCCATCGATGGGGTAAAGTCCCCATCGCTGGGTAAGGTCGTTTTGCCTTGTGTTGATGTTGGACCAAGGCTTGAAGAGCGATGGGTAGAACTTCCCATCGCTGTTTGGCATGGTACGGAATTCGGTTGGACTGAAGGTCCGCTTACCCATCGATGGGTAACTCTTCCCATCGCTGGGTGGGTGGTTAGTCAAAAACCTATGGTTTTTGCCTCAACCACGGCCTAGCCAACTGATGCAAAAACTGACTCAAAAATCCAAAGTTCTCCAAAATAAAAACCAAGTGTTTAAAACACTTGTTTGATGTATTTGGCTAAGAAATCATTTGAGACACTTTAAAAACCATGTCATTTGAGTAAAAACCACGGCTAACCAAGTTTAATCCGTTTTGCGTGGTTTTTGCAAAACGACCAAAAATGAAAGGTGGTTTTCAAGGTGTTTTTGTTGGAGAACTGTTTAAACATGTCAAGAAGTGAAAACCAATCATAAAAATTTGAAAACAACTTGGTTGGTTTGGACGACAAAAACCAACGCCGAAAACCAAATGTCGAACGCCGGTTTCTGAAAGCCAAAAGCCGGTTTCTAAAACCCGAACGCCGGATGGCTTGGTTTTTGGTTTGGGCGAACACCAAGTGTTTTTATTGATTTAAACATGTTTGAAAACCATTTTTATGATGTATGAAATGCAATGAAGAGAATTTTAGCCAAAAGAGCCAAGGTGTAAAGGTTGGTTCGGTCTTGATCACAATTATTATTGACTCAACGACACTAAGACTACGGTCTTCGTTCGTGGTATCTTTTAGCTCTTGTTATCTTGCTTTCTTCTTATATTTATTTCTCGCCTTGTATATTCAACAACTTGTCTCGTTCACAGCGGTTTGGCATTATAAAAACCTGTCATAAACATGAACACGGCTTTAGTACGAAAACGTGATAAACCCGTGTTTCAACAATTTCCCCCTTTTTGATAATGGCAAACAAGACAAGGTTATGCATAGGAGGATTGATTTGAGACTTAAAAAATGTTCCCCCTTAATAAATGCAATTTTCTTTTCAACAAAGTTTATGTGTTGAATAAGAGTTAGTTTTAGAAAAAGTTCCCCCTCAATCTATGTATAACCTTTATATCTTCCCCCATTTGACATTAACAAAAAGAATTTAAAAGTAAACTTTTATTGATTGAAAGGGAAATGCGGAATAGAACAGAGTAGAAAAAAGTAAAAAATACAATCAAATTAAGGAAACGAAATAATAAGAAGAGTCTAGGTGTCGGCGACCTTGTCCTCGTCATCATCCTCGTCATCTTCGATGTCCATGGCATCGCCGTCGACCGCATCTTCAAAGTCAGCCTCATCGGGAGAGGAGGACGGAGCATAGGAGTCATTGTCCTCATCCTCGCCTTCAAAGTTGTGGCCGAGGCTGGTGCTGTCGAAAGGAGGCGGGACGTAGTTGATGCCGTGGAAGAACGCCGTCATGTCGTGGTGTTGACGTTGTAGCGTCGAGTCAATCCGCTCCATGTACTGCCCCATGCCATCCACCATGAGGGTTAGCTGATTCAAGGTGTCGACAATGGACTATAACGAGGCCCGTGCGGGAGCGGGGGCACGGGCATGGGCACGACTCGGTCCGGTGCCGTCTCGGTTTCCGGACTTCTTCTTCAAGGTGTTTTTGGCGATGACCCAGAGCTTCGTCATCATCGTGCTCGGCCCGGCAATGTGGATGTCGGTGGAGACGATGAGGTCCATGACGAGGAAGGCGCACGGCAAGCTCCGCTCAGTGGCGATGGAAGCGCAATCCGTCATGTGAATCATGACGAATTTCGCCCAATTTATGGAGGCGCCGTGCATGATGGCGTGAATCACCTTCAAGTCCTCGTTGAAGAGCGAGGTGTGGCTGCCATCCCAGGGGCAGAGGATCCGGGTGAGGATGTAGAGAAGAAGGCGCTTCTCCGGTGGGGCCGAGTGGATCATCGGTGCGCCGATGTGGCGGATCAAGTTGGTGATCTCAAGCTCGAGAATGATGACTGCCTCGTACGTCGCGATGTCGTCGCCTCGGATGGGCAACCCTTCGATCCGTGCAAAAGTCGGAAAGTCAATCTCTATGTCGTAGAGATTGATGCTGCTGTAGATGGTGTCCCCGTCACGGCGGAGATTTGAGTAGAAGGCCCGGACAAAGGCGGGATTGTAGGAGGTGCGGCTCTTGGAGACGAAGGGCCACAAACCCGACTCTTTGAGTTAATTGTCGAGGTCATGGTACCCCTTTTGTTGGTGGAACAACTTCGGGAGCACACGAGGCGGAGAGATCGGGCGCTTGGCAAAGTGCGTGAGGAACCGGGAGAGTTCCTCCTCCGAGCCAAACTCGAGGAAGGATCCATCAAGGTACGGAAAGGGTTGAGGCGCAGAGCTCGTGGCCTTGGCCGGACCTTTCTTCTTGGACGCCTTGGTCTTCTTCCCTCCGGCCATTGTTGAGACGTTTGAGAAACAAGTGAAGAATTATGCAAAAACAGGCTAGAGGAATGAAATTGAGATTAGATTTGTGTGTAGGAATGACTAAATGTGATGTATATTTATAGGGAAGGAGGAGAAAACCGTTTGAATTTGAAAAATATGGCTGGTGGGCATTTAATGTGGTGCCCAACGGCTCTGAATTTTTGAATTGCATCAGCCTTCCCAGCGATGGTAAGATCTACCCATCGATGGGAAGGTCGCCACTGGAAAGCAAGGAAAAATTCAAGGCTGCCTTCCCAGCGATGTTTGGATTCTCCCATCGATGGGAAGGGGGTTACTGGAAAGTGACGAAGTAAAGAAGTTGCCCTTCCCAGCGATGTTAATACCATCCCATCGCTGGGTTGGTTGTTTTGGAAATCCGTTATGAAATTTTCAAAAATAGTGTCAAACACCCAGCGATGGGAGGATGTTCCCATTGATGGGTAGGATGGTTCTAGAAAAAAATATTTTAAACGAAGTCATACACCAAGCAATGGTACAAAGTTACCATCAATGGGTAGTGGACTTCTGGAAATCCATTAAAAAGTTTTAAAAAAATAGAGTCAATCACCCAGCGATGGGAAGAAGTACCCATCGATGGGAAGAGGAGTTCTTGAAGAAAGGAAACTTCCCTCTTAGCGATTGTATAACCCACCCATCGCTGGTTCCCCTGACTTCCGGATTCCTTCACCTCGATACGTCCCTGCAAAAAAAGAGTTAGAAAACCCCCCGACGCTCAAGTTAGTAAATGTTCAAATAGAGATAGGAGAGTAATAAAACGCACAAATTAGATCATCGTGGAGTCAAGGATTCTGAGACGAATGCGAAAGAATGACTTTTTCTCTAAAGGTTTTGTGAAAATGTCGGCTGTTGGGAAAAATATTAAAGATTTTGATGATGATGTATATAGATTGTAATAGGGACTTTAGGTCACCTCCAAATATTCATTGTAATTTTTCTTTTTAGAAATATTGTTAAAACCGAGTTTTTGAGATTTCCAATAAAGCTTGTGATATTTCATTCTGTGGTTTGATGTCAATCTTTGAAGACTTAATCAAATTCAGTGATATGGAAAATTGGAACTCTTGATCGGTAATGTTAGAGACAAGTAGGGAATTCTCAAAGTAGTTGGTTACTTTGAAGATTCTCAAATCCGGAATACCGGATGTCTCGCTACAACCCGCTGAAGGCTAAGTCATCCGGATCGGAAGACTAGCGCGGATTTCTTTCTCACCTGGAAGTCTAAGAATGACTAATCCAAAACTGTCAGCAAAGAACCAGATGCCTCAAGGAAGACTGAAACTCTCAGAAGCAGACATGTGAGAAATGACTTAGAAAATATTTAAGTCATGAATGAAGAAATTCTACCCGTTGGTAAGAAAAAATCAATATCTTGATTTTCAACGGCTAGATTGGGGATAATTAAGCTGATTCAAGAACAAATGACTTCAAGACAAAGTCTGAACTTCTCAAATTGAAGAGCTCGCTCAGAATTCCTAAACAAACACCAGAAGACAAAATGAGTACTCCACTCAATAAAGAGCTACAGTCCAGAATTCTTGAACAACAGCTAAAGGACGGATTCTATGAAAAAGGAATCTTTCTTCAAGCAATTGGTTATGTCCAAACACCCATTCCAATGAAGAATCCTCAATCTCACTCTTCGTTCAAAATTGAAGCCAGCAAATGCAACGGATAGTCTATTCCTTTCAACGGATAGATTATTCATCCAGCTATATATAGCTTCCATGGAAGACTGGAGAAATACACGGGCATGAGATAACAAGCAAGATTACAACAACGACGAACTACAACTATCTCATTCACAGTTAGCCAAAAGACTTGATAAAGAGAGATTTCTAAACTCCTTATCCAGAAGCAAACTTCTCCCCTCCTTCCAAAGAGCTATAGTGTAAACACTTGAACGTTTCCTTGCCTCAAGTACCACACCACGTTGAAAGATACAACTTTTAATCAAACTTCTTGATTAAAACGGGGTATATCAACTTTTCTACAGATCTTGCAAGTCATATTGTTCGGATCTTGCAGTTGTTGAAGAAGCGTGACCTTCGAAGGAACAACAAAGCCAGCACGTGTGCAGTAGCAACTTTGGCCTTGCGAAGATATACCGTGCAGAAATTCACACAAGTGTAATTGTTGGTTCATTATTCAACGAACAACTACATAGTGGATTTTGAGGACGTAGAAGGATTACCCCACCTTCGAACCTCATTAAAGTTTACGTGTCTCTCTCTTTTATCTTTACTTATACTTGCAATTATATTAACTGTGAAACTAACCCATCCATATTGATTACTTCTCTAATAACCCACCAACTTCCGCACACAATCTAAGTTCACAAGAACTCTAGATTAACACTCATTTTCACATTTTCAAAAGAAAAGAAAAATATATTAAATTTGTTACAAAGTCTATTCACCCCCCCCCCCCCCCCCTCTAGACTTTGTATATCACCACTTTGGGACTACCAATTGGTATCAGAGCAAACTTCTCACTATCTACTTTTAGATTAAAGAGAAGCAATCATAATGGTGAACAATATGGATCACAGTTTGCCCAAGTTTTCTCTTCTAGGTTGTGATGATTGGAAGATCATGATGGAAGCACACCTCTACGCTCTACATGATTGCATGTGGATGGTGCTTGAGATGGACCCTTGAAGATTCAAATGGAGTATCCAGAAAGGAATCCAACCAACCCAGATGTAGTCTAGTACATTCCAAAGCCCAAGGAGAAATGGGATAATAGAGATTGCAAGAAGCACAATCTGGACAATGTCGCCAAAGCAGCCATCTTCAAGACACTTGATCCCATCACATTTTCAAAAATCAAGCATCTCAAGACTTCCATGGAGATATGGCAATGTCTTGGGAAGTTGTGTGAGGGATCGGAGGACCTGAGAAAGCAGAAGATAAAGGTTCTTCTTGAAAAGTTCAAAAGCTTCAAAATGCTTCCCGGAGAATCATTTGACATGCTGGATGAAAGATTCCACAAGATTCTAAATGATCTTGCATCACTTAACCACGTTCTTTCTCCCAAAGAAAAGAATGTAAGGTTACCGAGGTCTCTTCCAGCTGAGTGGTACACCAAAGCCACAACCATGGAAGAAGGAAGAAATCTGAAGAACTACACTGTTCAAGGTCTTCTAGATGAGCTCAGAACCTATGAGCACAAGCTGAAGAAGAAGAAGGAAGAACAAGTCACCCCTTTTCCCACGGCGCTAATGACAAATCCCAGAGTCCTAGCAAGTGAATGAACATGCCCAAGGAGCTGTGACACTCCTTCCACCAGTTAGCCCCCAAGCTTTAAAATGGAGAACTACGAGGAGGAGCTTACAATGATGATCAAGCAATTCCGGAAGTTCAAGAAATTCTTCAAGAAAACTGACTCAGTCACAAGGCCATCCAAGGGAAAGATACAGGTAAGTGACTCCCCTCCTGAATCTTATTTGTGTTATAACTGCAGGAAGCCTGGCCACTGGAAGTTAGCTTGTCCGTACCCAAAAGTGGAGAAGTACGGAGAAAGAGAAAGGAACGAGAAGAAGAAGAAGGCAATGGTTGTTGACCCTTGTGTTTTGATAATGACAACCATGCATATGGGATGAGCTTTGGATCTGGATCTTTTCATGTGGATTGCCTAGTACGTTGCTTAGAGATTCAAGCCAAGATTTGAAGATTAAAGGTTTTCTAGATTTTTATTTCTTTTAAGTCTTAGTTCATGTTAAAGTGTTTGGCACATCTTTATTCTTCAAATACTTTGTTTTTCCTACAAGAATTCCTCTTTAATTGTTTTCAAAACCCTTTCTCAAAACCTTTCTTCAAAAATGTTTCTTCCTAGGTTTTTATTCGAATAAATTGAGAGTTATTCAAATAAGAGGGACTTCTGCAGATTGCAGTTCATTCTGTTTTAATCGAACAAATGCTTGTTTTATTTGAATAAGGGCTGATTCTAGTTCTTCCAAAGTTTTGAAAATTATTCGAATAAATAGCTATTTATTTGAATAAGTGGGCTCCCAGTTTTGCAGTTCATTCTGTTTTATTCAAATAAATTCAGTAATTACTCGAATAAGTCCTGTGTTTTCAAAAATTATGTTTTATCAAAACTATTTGAATAAATGGTGTTTTACTCGAATAAATTGACAGTTTTCAACAACAAATGGTCAGTTTTTGAATTCCTTTGTAGGTTTTTCTCATTCCTATCCTTATTCAATATAATTTGTTCCGTTTTTCAATACACAAGAACACCTAAGAACACTTTCAATTACATTCCTTTGATTATACAAAGAGATTCATTCAAGTCTTCATCTTCCCACTCAATATTCAAGTTCTTCATTTGAGAAATCTTTCTTCACTTTGAGTTGGAAAGTTTTTGTGTGCCATACACTATACGGTGATTGTAATCTGTTAGAATAAGTGCCCTTCACTAGAGGGAGGGTGAATAGTGAGGCACGAGAATGTTTATAAATTTTCGCGGAATAAAAATCGCAGGGATAAAGTAAAGAGCGGAATAAAAAGGAGTAAAGGGAGCACACCAAGATTTACCCTGGTTCACCACAACTTGTGGCAAATCCAGCCTCCCGAGAGACTCTCTCGAGCTACACTACTTCCGTTAAGCTTACGGGTGCTTAACAAACCGTTACAACCTGAGAACTCAAGTCCCACGAGCCTCAACAACACTTGCTCGGAGATACCGCACTCCAAGACTTCAACGCGAAGGAAAATACCTTTCCTTCGTACAACCAAGGGAAACAAGCTTCCCTTAACGTGTATACAACACTAAATACTCAAGAACAAAACTCTCTTTAAGAGTAGATGATGAGTAAACTAAGTACGCTCAAGAACAACTCAAACTTCACAAATTGGCTCTAGAAAGCTATGGAAAATAATGTTGTTTGGATGCAATGATAATATGAATATTGTGAAGTGAATTGATGTGTAAAGCAGACCCAAACACCCCTTTTTATAGTGCCAAAATAGGCTCCAACGGACCAATGCATTAAAGGGGTGATTGGCTTGATTTATG